CTTGCGTCGTCGGCACTGTCGGAGCCGGACCTGCTCGCGCTGGGATCAAACTACTTGACTTCAAGCCATTCAACCCTGTCGATAAGCGCACTGAGATCACTTACTTGGAAGAAGCCACGGGCAAAATGAAACGCGTCACCAAAGGAATGACCGGTGTGATCATCGAACTCTGTTCCCGAAACAAAACTGAAGATGTTGAGAATCAACTGGAAGCCGATGTCGAGGAGTTTGCCAGACGTGGATTGCGTGCTTTGGCGGTCGCTTTTGAAGATGTGCCATCCAATGACAAAGATGCTCCTGGAAACGGATTCGAGCTTATCGGTCTATTGGCAATTTTCGACCCTCCCCGTGACGACACTCAACAGACTATTGATGACGCGATGTTGTTGGGAGTACGTGTGAAGATGGTGACGGGTGATCAACTTGCGATTGCTAAAGAAACCGGTCGTCGTTTGGGTCTTGGTGATCACATGTATCCCGCTAAAGTCCTCAAGGATGGTCCCGAACCAGGCGGCAAACATTTGACCCTTGATGAGATGATCTTAGGTCGGTTGTCCCTTTGTTCAGACATGGTCGCTTTTCTTTTTCCTGACATGAGTTCTGTGTTTTATAGACGCCGACGGTTTTGCGGGTGTGTTCCCGGAGCACAAATATGAGATTGTGAAACGTCTACAAGGTCTCGGCCATCTGTGTGCGATGACTGGTGATGGTGCCAACGATGCCCCCGCTGTAAGACTTTCTTTTTTTTCTTTAGCTCATCTTGAACTTCATTGCTAATCATATCATTTTTGATTTTCAGCTTTCCCGTGCCAACGTTGGTATTGCAGTCGAAGGTGCCACTGACGCAGCAAGAGGGGCGGCTGACATTGTGCTCACGGAGCCTGGTCTATCCACAATTGTGCATGCGATCCGTCAATCCCGAATCATCTTCCAACGGATGCGTAACTACTCGATCTATGCCTGTGCCGTCACCATCCGAATCGTTGTTGGTTTTGCAGTCTTGGTCTTCGCCTACAAGTTTGACTTCCCTCCGTTTATGGTTTTGATCATCGCTTTACTCAACGATGGAACGATTATGACTCTATCTGTTGACCGGGTCTTGCCAACGCACCGACTCCTGATCACTGGGACCTTGCCGAAATTTGTACG